TAGGCAGATGCACATCTCTAAATTGCCCATAGTGTATAAATGCATGCCTGCCACATCCCATTAAGCAAGGCCTGCCAAACACAAATGCCACGACTCTGGACTAATTATACTTTTGAGCTATAATTACACCTAATTGAACACTTGCACAATGTTTAAATGAGGTTTTATTATAGTTTAATTTAATGGCTTGATTTGTTCATATCTATTTTGCCTGCATTTATAGTATCTAATCTAATAAAATAACCCTAGATTGCCTGCTAAAGTACAATATTAGTTTGATTCATTTTGCATAACTCCAAGGAGGTAAGTCTGATTCCCACCCAGATTTCTCTCAGTCCAAAGATGAATCGCCTCTACATTGTGTGCATGTCTTGACCTTGTAATGGGGAAGCAGATATGGAAGGTAGACGTCTGCTTGGTAGGTATGAGTGCATAGCTTCACAGTGCCCACATGTGGTGGTTAAGACACATTTTTCCTTTTTAATACCGTTAAACACCTATTCTATATGAAATGTGATATTTGTCCATCTTATCAGAATTAGACAGTAGGATTCCTTCCATCTATCACCACTTGTGAAGTACAGAGCAATGGTGAGCCAATCCCGGGGGGCAGAAGGTAGGGGCCACCCTACATAGGATGCTGGTCTATTGCAGAACATGCACTCACCCACTCGCACATGACGGGCAAGTTATGATCTCGATTTACTTAAATGCTTCTTTTCTGACTGTGACACGAGACCCGCACTGTATGAAAAGAGCATGCAGAAATGTCCATGGTACCATTCCTTTAGTAGAATTTATGTCTATATAATCAGTCACTAGAAGAACAAAAATGGTTTTAATGGTTCGGTAAACAATAATAATAGTTTCATCCATAGATATAAAAAGGTAGATAGCACGTGCTATTGGACGTGTGTCTGCGCAGCGCCGCATTGGGCCAGCCAGCACTCGAGGCCCGGACAGCAGGCCACTTCCACAGATGCTGCTGGCATGAGCCACATTTGGATACACAAAAAGAAGAAGAAATCATGGGATTATGTTTCACAAGTAAGTGGCAATTTTACTGTATTTTACGGTTCTGTAAATGCATTTGGACTGGTGGTCCCAATCTTTAAAAAGGGGGAAATGTGTTCCAAATTAGGGGGATCACACTCCTCAGCCTTCCTGGGAAGGTCTGTGCCAGGGTCCTGGAGAGGAGGGTCAGCGTGAATAATGCGGATTCTGTCCTGACCGCGGAACACTGGACCAGATCTTCACCCTCACAAGGATACTGGAGGGTTCATGGGAGTCTGTCCAACCAGTCTACATGTGTTTCGTGGACCGGGAAAATGCATACGACCATGTCCCTTGGAGGGACCTGTGGGGGATATTTCAGGAGTATGGGGTACAGGGCCATCAGATCCCTGTATAAACGCAAGAGATTGGGTCACACTGCCAGCAGCAAGTCAGACTCATTCCCGGTGGGGGTTGGACTCCTCCAGGGCTGCCCTTTGTCACCAATTCTGTTCACAATTTTTATGGACAGAACTTCTAGGCGTAGCCAAGGGGCGGAGGGGATCCCGTTCAGGTGCCTCAGGATCGCATCTTTACTTTATGCAGATGACATAGTCCTGTTGGTGTCATCGAGCTGTGACCTGCAGCATGCACTGGGGCGGTTTGTAGCTGAGCGTGAGGCGGCCAGGATGAGGATCAGCGCCCCAAGCCTGAGGCCATGGTTCTTGACCGGAAAAGGATGGATCGCCCTCTCCTGGTGGGGGATGAGTTACTGCCTCAAGCGGAGGAGCTTAAGTATTTAAGTATCTCGGGGTCTTCTTCAGGAGGGAGGGAAAAAGGGAGCAGGAGATTGACAGACGGATCGGTGCAGCGTCGGCCGCGATGCAGACGATGTACCGTTCTGTTGTGGCGAAGAGGGAGCTGAGTCAAAAGGCAGAGCTCTCAATTCACTGGTCGATCTACATTCCCACCCTCACATATGGTGACAAGCTCTGGGCAGTGGCCGAAAGAACGAGGATCTAAAGATGGGGTGAGGAGCTCGGACATTCGGAGCTCCTCCACATCGAAAGAAGCCAGTTTAGGTGGTTCGGGGATCAGCATTATGAAAAATTGGTAAAGCACTACGTAGCTAGGGGTAAACGTGATATTTACTTAACAGTGACCTCATTCACTGTATAGTTCACTTTATATAAAATGTGTTTGCCAAAGGTTGCCCAAAGATCCCGGATTAAGGAAAGCTTGGCCCATAGCTGTTCGACGGAAAAGATATGGAGCCTAAAGATACCACAGCTCTCTGTAACTGTCATTTCAAGGCAGGTGATTGTGACAGAACTGGGCAAATTGTACATCTGAAGGAATGTGTGATCGCTTATTTTTGTTCCCTTTTCAGACCATCTGAACAAGGTTAGCGCATAACATAGTCATAAGATTAGTGTTTTGGTGTGATAAACAGTGTTAATCAATAGTGTAGACTAATTGTTATAATGACCATACAGATCATCTCATAGCAACATAATTGGAATTACCACTAAAGCTGATATTGAATGTCCCTTTTATATTGTTCTAACATTGATTGTTGTGGGCAGGGTTCATTTTATTCCATGTCTATCTGCATATAATTGTCACATTATTTAATTTAAATATTTATACCTTGTTTCATAAAAGTTAAGTAGATTATCATATGGGAAGGAAATAATCGCCAATCCCTATCATTTCATATTATGTGTGGATATTTGATTTGTCAAAAAGTTTTGTGTATAATTTTGCTAAAATTATAAGTAAACATACAGTAAGCTGCATCTTTTAGTTGCTAGATGTAACTCCCTATGGGGTGCATTTGTAAAGGTACTAAAAATTTTGTACTTGCCACTTTTTCAACATTTAGTGCAATTTTCTGACATTTAGCTAGAAGTCAGTGGTGTTGTGGATCATCATATTTTTTGCTGTGTAGATTATTTGCAAAATTGTTCATCATATGTAAATATAAATGGTATGTCTATATATAAATATTACATATAAATGGTAAATGTAAAACTTAAATGTAAATCTAAATATAAATGTTGAATATAAATGTTAAATTAAGAACATAAGAACATAAGAAATTTACAAATGAGTGGAGGCCATTCGGCCCATCAAGCTTGTTAAAATCTTATCAAGGTGTTAAAAACTTATCTAGCTCTGATTTAAAGGAACCCAGGGTTTTAGCTTCCGCTACACTAGCAGGAAGACTATTCCATACTCTGACTACACGCTGTGTAAAGAAGTGCTTCCTCAAATTAGTTTTAAAATGTTCTCCCGCTAATTTCCACTTATGGTCACTAGTTCTAGTATTTAAACTAATATTGAAATAGCCATTTGGCTGAACAGCATCCAGACCTGTTAGAATCTTATATACCTGGATCATGTCCCCCCTTAGTCTCCTTTGCTCAAGGCTAAACAGATTCAGCTCAGCTAACCTCTCCTCATAAGACATTCCTCTAAGACCAGGAATCATTCTCGTAGCCCTCCGTTGCACCTTTTCTAAGGCAGCAATGTCCTTCTTAAGGTATGGTGACCAAACCTGCACACAATATTCTAGGTGGGGTCTTACCAAGGAATTACAGTATATAATCGTAGCATCACCTCCCTTGACTTAAACTCCACACACCTAGAGATATAACCCAACATTCTATTGGCCTTTTTTATTGCTTCCCCACACTGGCGAGAGTGAGACATGGAAGCATCAACATACACACCGAGATCTTTCTAATCAGCTACCTTTATTTCAGTGGAACCCATAAAATATCTGTACTTTATATTTCTGCTCCCTGCATGGATTACATTTTTATATGTTAAATTTCATCTGCCAAGTATCAGCCCATTCGCTAATTAAATCCAGATCCCGTTGTAGCCTCTCTGCTGCTAGATCAGTATCTGCTACACCACTCACCTTGGTGTCGTCTGCAAATTTAACCAGTTTACTGTATGTATTGGTGTCAATATCATTAATATAAATTAAACACAATAGTGGTCCTAAAATTGAACCCTGCGGTACCCCACTATGAATGCAGGGCCACTGTGACATTATGCCTCTAATAACTCGCTGCTTCCTGTCAGTTAACTAGTTTTCAATCCAAGCTGCTACAGTTCCTAAAATCTCTGCAGCTTTGAGCTTAAGCAAGAGCCATTTGTGTGGGACAACATCAAAGGCCTTCTGGAAATCTAAGCAGATCACATTGTAGGCCTTTTTGTGATCAATTTCATTTGTAGCTTCCTCAAAGAACTCAAGTAGATTCGATAAACAGGATCTACCTCTCCTAGATCCATGTTGGCTATCCCTCAGAATGTTATTTGCATCCAGGTAATCTACCGTTTTCACTTGGATTGTAGCTTCAATTATTTTTCCAGTAATGCTAGTTAAACTGATTGGCCTATAGTTTGCTGGATTACTTCTATCCCCTTTTTTTGAATATGGGTGTTATATTAGCATGCTTCCAATCTGAAGGTGCCACACCCGCAGATAACGATTTCTGGAATATTAAAGTTAAAGGTTGGCTAATAATATCCCTCATCTCTTTTAAAACTATAGGTAAGATGTCATCAGTGCTCTGCGACTTATATCTAAATATCTAAATGTTAAAAGCAAAACTTAAATGTAGATGTAAAAATAAATGATAAATATAAATGTTAATTGTCCTTTAACTTAAACATAAAACAATAGTTATAATCTTTAGAGACGCAATAATATGGAGGATAAAACTGCTGAAAGAAGTGCTCAAAAAAGCAAGATAGTTATTACAGGAAAAACTTGTAATGAGGGCTTTTAAAATCGTTGTTTTTGGTTGCAGCAAGATGAAAACAAAAATCCACGTGAGTTTGTAACTCACCGCCGCCACTATCCCGGACACTCTGAATTTTCGCGCGTCCAATCACTGCGTTTTGCTTTGTAAACCGGTATTCTATTGGTACGTGTGGTCTGCTATTACTTCTGGCTCGCCCAATGGCCGGCGCCGTTATGTGAGCATCTGGTTTCGCGGGAAAGTGCTGGAGTCTCTCAGATTACCCGTGAGCCATTCAGGACACTTCCAGTACCCGTCCGGCTACAACTACTTCATCGCCTTTTAACTGTTCCAAGTCATTATCAAGACCACAAGTGTGTTGTAAATAATACAGCTCACTTTTTTGAAAATGAGTTTTAATTTGGAAAGATTCCGGTACCAAGGGAATGAACGCAAGAGGAAAGATCGGGCACTGACTCAGGATCGCATCGGCTCTGCAAAATCCAAGCAGGACAAAGAAAACAAACCAAGTATGGGACCTTAGCTACTACCAGCCCACCACTGGAATTAATGGCGGACATCGATATCCGTTTTACTTAATCCTTGGAATGTCTATTTCCTATAAAATCATCTCACTTTCTAGAGGCAAAGTAAATCAAAGTGAATGAATAGCCAGCTGTTGTGAGCATTTTAACCTTGTATAGTGTCGGTGCGTCTAAATCTGCGCAGTTTGATATTATTGAGGTACGGCTATATTAATTGTTATCGTTATGGAAAATAATTAATATGGAACTTAAAATCTAAAGTGTTTTTTTCCGAGTGGTGTACCCCGCCTGGGTTATGTGCGCTGTTAAGTAGGTCTGGAGGAATGTAGTTGCGTGAGATCATCTCCTGGTGACCTGAAAGCATATCCTGCCCTTTGTCCTCTTCCACAGGCTCCACAGCCCCTGGAACGATGCAAGGACAGCAGACACCAGAGCCTGACTGCCAAGCCCCAGTGTTAAAGTGAGTTGGTCCCTTTTGTGGGGTTGGGGTTTCTGAGAGAGAAGAAATGTATTAATATTACTACCACTGCTGTGCCCTACAGTGACCATTCTTCCTGGCCTTTATCCATCTGCCCGTCGCTTTGTCACCAGGGCTGTGCCGAGAGGTCAAGGCTGGTTTGAGCTCAGTCATTGCACTTGTGATTTTTTCACTGCCACATCCTCCCCTTGTCCCTGATATGAACCATAAAGTAATTTAAGCTTGTTTGAAGTCGCAAACCCAGTGGGTTCCTTGTTCTGTCACAGTAACAGTGTGCAGGGGGCAGCGTGTGGCTCAGTGGGCTAAGCCTGTGTGCCTGTAATTAGAAGGTCGCTGGTTCAAACCCAGCCTTAGCACGTCTGCGGGTCCTTGAGCAAGGCCCTTAACCCCCAGCTCCCTGGGCGCCCCAACAGGTAGCTGCCCAAAGAGCAAGCTTTAGGAGGTGTAAAAAAGACGATTTCCCCACGGGGATCAATAAATATATCCATTATTAATAATAATAAGTATTATTATTATTAACCCAATCAAATGACTCCTTTAATCATTTAATCTTTTGCTGTGACTAGTCTTATCCCCAGTGCAGTGGAAATGTCAATTGGTTTCAAAGATTCTTCTGTGTTGACATAGTTGAAATGAAAACCGGTGAGACAGCCTGTGTGTTCGCTCACGCCGTCGTCTTTCGGTAGAGCCGCTCTCGGCATTCTCTGGATGCCTTAATGCTGACACTCGCAGTGACTTTCTGCCTTTTCTGAAGTTCAACGTATTCCGCATAACCGAAAATGCTGGTGATGTTGAACTCGTGGCGCTAGTGGACTGTAGCTCACCGTTACGCGCTGCCGAACTCACCAGTTCTGCCCTCCTCTGTGCTCAGGACGTCTGTACAGACTGTGGAGGCGGTGGAGGAGTGGGAGACCTCCAGAGAGTGGTACATGGGTGATGAGGAGATGGAGGAGGTAACGCCTCCACAGTAATGTGGCTCCAGCCTGCTTTGCATACATTAGTAAGCTTCCTATTGGCCGGCTTAATATTAATTAATATTTTTGTTTTAGGGAATCAGAACCCCAAGCCCCCTGGATCTGACCATGGCTTCCTGCTTGACGAGGCAGACAGACAAAGGTATCTGGTCTTGCCAGATCAGCTGGGCCTGCAGGTGTCCAAGCCACACCCACTTTCTGTTTTTCTACCTACACTGGGGTGTCCGTGACAGTTAACCGTGTCTTCACCCTGTCCCGGGACCGTGGATATGTTTAACCATTGGGGTTCGCTGTTTTCCACTGCACCCCTTTCAGGCTGTCAGCAGAATAGTCATATGTCCATGGGCCCTTGAGCAAGGCCCTTAACACCTGGCTCCCTGGACACCACTGGAGGTGGCTGCCCTTCACTGCCAAGCTTGTCCTCACCTGCATGTGTGTGTTTCGTGGGGGGTCTGATGGGATAGGGGAGAAGAGAATTTCCCCACAGGCATCAGTAAAAGTGTCATGTCATCAGTTATTCTGTTATTTTGAAGATCATACATTTCTTTTTGTCTTTGCAATTTGCTCAAATAGATCTGTGTGATTATATTACTTTTAAGCCCATCAGTACAGACAGACATGGACATTTAGCATCAGAATTCCCTCATGGTTCTGAATGACCTCCTTCGTCCGGCCCTAACAGTTGCTCGCCTTTCCTCTGTGAGTCATCAAGCCCCTGCTTTGGTGACTGCAGTGTACACTGTGTTTTCTCGCTCCAGGGTCTGCCCAGAAGCAGAAGCATGGTAGTGTTGACAGCAGCGACTGTGAGGAAAGCGCCAATGAAATGGAGAGACCCGGCAAGAGGAAGAAGCAGGACACCTCTACGGCTGGTGTTGACAGCGGCGACTGTGAGGAAAGCGACAATGAAATGGAGAGACCCAGAAAGAGGAAGAAGCAGGACACCTCTACGGCTGGTGTTGACAGCAGCGACTGTGAGGAAAGTGACAATGAAATGGAGAGACCCAACAGGTGGAAGAAGCAGGACACCTCTACGGCTGCTGTTGACAGCGGCGACTGTGAGGAAAGCGACAATGAAATGGAGAGACCCGGCAGGTGGAAGAAGCAGNGGAAGAAGCAGGACACCTCTACGGCTGCTGTTGACAGCGGCGACTGTGAGGAAAGCGACAATGAAATGGAGAGACCCGGCAGGTGGAAGAAGCAGGACACCTCTACGGCTGGTGTTGACAGCGGCGACTGTGAGGAAAGCGACAATGAAATGGAGAGACCCGGCAAGAGGAAGAAGCAGGACACCTTTACGGCTGGTGTTGACAGTGGCGACTGTGAGGAAAGCGACAATGAAATGGAGAGACCCGGCAAGAGCAAGAAGCAGGACACCTCTACGGCTGGTGTTGACAGCGGCGACAGTGAGGAAAGCGACAGTGAAATGGAGAGACCCGGCAAGAGGAAGAAGCAGGACACCTCTACGGCTGCTGTTGACAGCGGCGACAGTGAGGAAAGCGACAGTGAAATGGAGAGACCCGGCAAGAGGAAGAAGCAGGACACCTCTACGGCTGGTGGCACCCTTGCTCATCGCGCAGCACACCAGGTTATCTTGCCTGGTCCCATTTAGTGCCGCCTCTCTCAGCTCTGAGGATGCTGATTATCCGTGGAGCTGGAAAACAGTCCCACTGTGACTCTGAGACCAATGCCAGGGTCTGCAAGGGTTTGATAGGCAGCATAATTTTTTGCTAGATAAGGAATGGATGAATGAATGCATTTGTTGTCAGTCTACAAGGTACAATGAAATGGCAAGACGATGCTTGTTGGTGCAAGAAGGAAAATGTCAGGAAGGATACAAATACAGAAAAAATAAGATGAATAGTGTATAAGATAAACATAATATAAATGGGTAAATAGAATATAAAACTGAATATAAAAGGAGTGTAAAGAATAAGTGTAAACAATGTAAAAATGAATAGGGAAAATTTGACAAAGATTAGGTGTTAAAATAAGTGACTTATGTGCTGTGCGGTTAGGTGGCTCCGTCGGGCCAAGACAAGAAGGCACCGTCATCGGTGGATCAGGGAATCATGGTCAGAAAGCTGCAGAAGGTCTTTCCTGAGCTCGACAGGGAGGTAAGTCTTCCAGATGCATCTCAGAACGTCTGCCTGCCTGGTTCCCCCTCAGCTGGATCCGTTAACTGCCACTTGCCCCTACTGTGACCTCGCAGGAGCTGCGAGACATACTGCAGCAACACAACTGGAACATGGAGCAGGCCTTGGATGAGCTGTACCTGTCCTCTGATCTGGGTGAGATTCCATTCCGAGATCGAGAGACTGTTTCTGGGAAAGGCCTTGTCACAGAATGGCTCGTCGTGGGTATTGCTTTTGTTATTTTTGAGGTTTAAATAAATGTCAGCTCCTGAAATGACAACCTAGTCAATGAGTATCTGTTTTTCTGTTAGTTTGTTTTTAGCACTTACACACAATCACCTATATCATTTTCAGTGCTTTTCTACCCTCCTGGCACACTTGTGCTCCCGGGCATTTTTTATCGTCTATATGTACGTTTTACGGATCTCATTGGTTGCAGTCGCAGAACCTCAGAATTCTGCTAGCTACGTTCCATGACAGTGAAAGCACGCTCTGTTTTTGTCTCTTGTTATCCTTTGACCTTATTCTTTTCTACGACCGTGACATTATATTCATCACATGCTGGATATTGTGACGCTACTCATTTGCTCTGCTATTCTCGGTTTGTCCTGCCGTAGACGAGCCACCCAGCTCTCCTGAAGTCCGCGTGACAAAACCTGTCATACAGCAGCCTGTCACTGTGGCTCACAGGACGGGCAAAGGGGCCTGCCCCCGCAATGTCACCAAAAAGGCTGACAAGAGGGTCACTGCGGCCAAAGCCAAGAAGACCGGGCGGAAGGCGCGGGGCGGAATGACCGCAAATACTTCCGACAGCACCTCTGAGGAAGAGGGCAACAGCGATTTTGAGGACTCCTCGGGTGACGACTCAGACAGGACTGACACCATGGACTCAGACCTGAAAGCAAGCATCGTGAAATTCTTCCAGCAGGCCTCAATGGACGAGCTGTCGCTCATCCGCTCATGCTCTCAGAAGACGGCCGAGCTGCGGCCTTACCGCTCGTGGCGTGACCTGGTAGGAGAGCCACCTTAGCTTTCTTCGCCGTGCTGGACCAGTTGCATTTCTCTCTCCTTTAATGCTTTCATTATTTCCTGATTTTTTTTTTTTATTATTCTCTTTGCACACACTTGCTGACATATCTTCCTATATAAAGCTGTGTTCTGCTCAGGTGAGTCTTCCCCAGCTTAGGAATGGGTGGCCTTACCCTTATTAGGCTCCCATTGCTCTCCCTTCTAAGCCAATGGCGTTGCATATAGGGTCATGTGACCATCTGTGGCGTGAGGGTTCTTGGGGAACGGGCCGTCTGATAGGCTGTTGCCACTTTCAGTCAGGCTGTGTGTCATGCCTGTGGGAGAGAGGAGCCGGTGAAGGCAATCGGCGCGGCAGCAGCTACACTGCAGACTGAGCAGTTCTTAGCATCTTGGATCTGGATCTTGCTTGTTGGATTACACACAAAAAATGTTCTCTTTTTTTGAGGGATAATTTTCCCTGCGAGCTTAGCTGCATGCCTGTGTGGCTCTCTGACTGTCAGCCCTCCTCGCCGCCCGGCTGCACACCTGGGGCAGCCCCGCGTGCCGCTGACGGACGCGCGATGCTTTCCTGATGCTCGTAAGTCTGCCTTCCTTTAGCTCCCAGCCTGATCCTGTGTCCAGCAGGCAGCTCGCTTAAGTCCCTCAGTCAGCCCTGCCGCTGTAGCCGTGTGACTGAACTTGTAGGAGTGCCGGGTCAACCTGCAGGGGGGGCACCAGCATGTGCGTAGTGTCCAGTGGGGCGGGGGCTGTATGCACACAGTCTTGTGGGGAGCATTTTCCCATTTGTGCAAATGTCTGGTTCTGCTTAAAGTTCCTGATATCACTGGGCTCTCGTCTTTAAAGGTTCCTGAATGCTGTTTCTGCTGGGTCCTGTGTGGCTTTGCTCGATCCCAGACACTGACCTCCACAGGGCCACTGCGGCCGGCTGCTTTCCGTCATGGGTCTGATCTGCGACGTGGGGGAATCAGTGTGCATGTTTAAACGGGTGTTTGCCTCTCAGTGTTTGTCTGAATTGCTGCGCTGTTCAGACTTGAACCCAGACGAGGTATGAGGACAGAAAGAGCCTCTTGCAGGGATTATTTGGACACACAGAGCAGAGCTATAGTGAATAGAGTCAGAAAAATAGCATTGTTTTCTCTCAATCTCTTGTGACTTCATGCCAACTGAGATTTAAACAACCTTCAGTCCAAATTGTATGTGTAGTAAATGTATTTCATGCCCATCATGGTTATGACTCATTGTAAGTAATTACTTGGGTAAAAAGGTTTAAAGTGAGGGGATTTTACCAAAGCAGGAAGTGGGTGTTTGTTCAATGCTAGTGAAAGTCCCATTCCCCAGTCACATTAACATTATTGGGGGGGGGGGGGCTGTTAGCAGCCTCAGGCAAGATGTTTCCCTTAGTTGGGCTGTTGTACTGCTGTTCTGTTGGTTCATTGTGCTTCTGTTTTGGCCTTTTCGCTGCATTTGTTTGTGTTTTCACGACAGTTAAAGAGAGAATTAAGGATGGCCAATCCAAATTTTTTTAGTTCTGGTCAGATTCCAATGCACAGCTGCTGATATTGGTACAGATTCCGATACTAGAGCTCTTTTTACTTTAATATTTTAATATATACTCTATATGTATATATTGGTTTTTAAACCAGTAAATACAAATAACAAAAATGTATGCCAAATTTTTTTTAATTAGGCTACTACAAACATACATAACGTACTGTTCCCCCTCATTTGTACATCTTGTTTTAAGTATTTTTGAGGCATTTTGCAGTTTAATTTGAATGTCTTCCAAGCGAGGATATGCAAGTGGCGAATGCTTAAAATGTCCCACAGTGTTTCTCCCACTGCCAACAGCCTCACTTACACTTCGCTGCGATCGCAGTCTCTCCTGTATCACAAGCTGTAGCGAGTGTGCAAAACAGCCCAAGCTAGCGACTCATCCATTCATACATCCATTCATACATCCATTCATACATCCAATCATTCATTGCTTTTTTTTTGTCTTTCACAATTGCATGGGCTTTCTTTAGTGGAATTTCCCATTAAACACTACTCCCACCTCTCAAGACTTTGCTTTTACAAACATTGCAAATCGCTGTGCTACTAGTTGTTGTTGTCGTTGTTGTCAAGATCATAAAATACTTCTGTTATCTGATGTTCTTTCACTCCTCCTACTGCAAAGGGTATGCACATGACGTCAGAGCAGGCAGAAGCCACTGCGCTCACACCCACTGAGTGGCAGCCTTAGTGTTCAGCTTGAATGCTGCAAGAAACACATCTAAAATGGGAAAGAGCTGTCGGGTGACTGATAATTCAAATAGTTTCTATTTTGTGTTAAATCTCTCTAGAGACGTCCGACACGTGTTTAGTTTCGATACCTGTTGAGCAAAGTAGGTCTGGATCAGCACCAATACCAACCCGAATATCGGATCGGTAGATCTCTAGTAAGATTGTGTTCGTTTGTCTTGCTCTGAATATTTGTGTCCATTCGAGCGAGCATGAGATTCACACAAGCTGTCAGATGGACTCTCACCTTCGACTCGCGCCTCTTGTTTAAGAAGGAATCATCTGGGGGGAGGGGGGCTTTGCCCAACTTGCGCGGTTTAATTATTTTATTCATGTTGTCATGACCTCGATGATGCAAATGAATAGATGGTAATGTGCACCCCTTCTATTCTGGTAGAAATGTCTCCCACATATAACCACAGCCTCTCTGCAGTCAGCTATACCGTGCTGCTCCTCTGGATTTTGATGAATACCTGAAGAGCAGCTTCCCCGTAAATGGACTCTGAGATCCACTTGGTTCTCTGTGCTCACATTGTTCCTCCGAGCATTGCCCTTTGGTGCCTTCTGCAGCACTTGGAGCCTTTAAGAATAGGTGACTTCACACAAGAGCAAACATTGACTCTCTATTCATTCTGAAGACGAAAGGCTGAAGATCTATAAAGACCCTGCTTCAAAATTAGAAACCGTCATGCACTGGATGATTAATACCTCTGGCTGCTATTAATGGACTTCATCCACTTGAGGATCAGACGCCGATAAAGGACTTTAGAAAACTGCCCTGAAAAGACGATCTGGAGAGTCGGGCTTCACCAGCAGAGCCAAGGTGAAGGGAAGGCGCTGGAAGGGGAGCTTCATCTTTTCCCAGACAGATAACCGTGACCCAAATCTGTGAGCTTTGCTGAGTGCGGTTTTCCAGGCATGAGTCTGCCCTGTGAGTGATATGGTGAAGGTAGCAGTCACAAATTCCCCACCCCTGTCCAGGGGAGCACTGACATTGTTGCCGGAGACTTGGCCTGCTCCTGATCGATTCAGAGATGACGGCAAAGCTCATGCATTCCGCTCCATCGGCCGCACCTGCTTTTCTGCTTTGCCGCTTCAGGGTGAGCTGGCAGAAAGAGGACTAATTTTGATGGTTACATTTTCAAAGTAGCTCATACATTACCTATAAAATCCACCTCTCAGTCCTCTGGTTTTGTCAATTTGGCCATAAGTGACTAGCAGAGTATAAAAAATGATGCCTGTCGTCTTTGCTGCAAACACTAGTAAACTGGTTACTTGTTGTAATTTAGATTAGGCTTGGGAAGCATTTTTCATACCATCCTGGCACATGAATTTTTAATTTAGTGATTTATTGTCATTGTTGACGCACCACAGTGCACAACAACAAAATGTGTCCCCTGCATTTAACCCATATGTGACATCGTGACATAGCAGGGGGCAGCTAATTCAGCGCCCGGGGAGCAGTGCTTGGGGGCGGTACCTTGCTCAGGGTACCTCAGTGGTGCCTTGCTGGTCGGGGAATCGAACCTGCAATCTTTCAATTATGAGTGCGCTTCCCTAACCATCAAGCCACCCCTGCCCACACCCACATATGGTGGTTTATGGTATTTTCAACACAGGATTTCAAAATACCACGGTATACCGCATTTGCCGTGGTACTGCCCAGGCCTACTTTGGGTGATGCGTTCTGTAAATCTAGTCACTTGGGATATGCATGCGTTTTATGCATCAAGCTTCATCATGCCTGCAAGCATAGCTTCGTATTTTTCCTGGAATCACAGGGGTGCCGCCGAAAGCCGCTGTTCCCCCGTCCCTCCGTCTGTAGGAATGGAGCCTTTAGAAAGCCAGCTGCATGGGCTCTTGTTTTCCTGCGTGTCTTTCTCAGCCACCATCTGCCCCGCGGTGCCTGTCGGGTTTCGGCGGGCCGCCCGTTTGGCACGCGTCTGCCGGCCGCGGGGAGGTATTCCTCACTGCTTGCGAGGCTCTGGGCTTCCGTGCCTGCCGACAAGCCTGATCTTGCGGCTATGGGTGGGGTTACGGTGGCAGTACAGCTGCCTCGCCTGCGGCTCTTTGTGGGGGGGTGAAGGCGGGTCTGCCACGGTCAAAATCTCCCAGTGTGCCGGCGTTTTAAAACACTTTAGATTTTGGTTATGATACCAAACTTTGGCAGATGTTCGTCCTTTTCCAGGTGTTGGCTGCCTCGACATGATCTTTCTGCATCCTTGAACAGAAATCGCTGCCCGACTTACACCAGCATCCCACCCCTACGGAGCAGCCTTCGAAGGCGTCCCAAACATGGCCGCGAATGTGTGTTTTTAGGGTCTGATTATCTTTTGATACGAGTTTTATGCATGTTGAGTTTGTAAGGTGTCCTGCAGTTAAGAGGGTCTCAGTCAGGAGTGACCCCAAGCGTAACATTACACACCCTAGAAGACTATGTTACGGTTCTGTGATTGTGGCTCCCTGCCTGTAATCACAGACTGACCACCCCCATTGGTTCTGTGACAGATCCAGAGCTGACTGTGTTATAAGTTAACTTTAGCCGGTCTGCCTCTAGAAATTTAAAAAATTTTCATATGCCACCTTTCATAATCGTTGCACGAAGTGTGTGTGGCTGTACATTATTACTTCATGTATGGTAAATGGCTCATGATACAGGGGAAGCGGAATACAATGGCAGCAGACAGGGGGGGGGGGGAGAACCGGCTGGCCAGCCACCCCAAGCATGCTACCATTATGCAATAGAAAGAAAATGATCGTGCGTATATAAATGCAAGGCATGAACTGATATATTTAGCATTTAATAGGGGTTTAACAGTGCACAAAATTCATGGTTAGTGCAATTTTACTACTAGGGGTGTAACGATACATCGATTTGTATCGATATATCGATTCAACGGCAATTATCCGATGCATCGATGTGACCCCATAAATATCGATACATGCGTTTTTATTTACATGGTCTACACCTGGGGTGCCCAATACGTCGATCGCGATCTACTGGTCGATTGCAAAGGTAGTGTGTGTAGATCGTATGGCATAAAAAATAGAGGATGGGTGACGCGTTCAACCGCGCCAGCTGCTGCAAGCTACCGAGTTGCCTAGTTAACCTCCAATTTATTTCTACTAAATTTAAGAAAGGGTGTAAAAATGAATGGGGGAGCTGGACCAAGAAGCCAAAAACAGACCACTTCCATACGGAATGGGAGGAGGACTGTATTATTTCACCATGTCATATTCGAAGTGCATTTGCCTCATCTGTCAGTCTACCATTGCTATTCCGAAGAAGGGAAATGTGGAGCGGCATTTTCGGACTGTTCATAAAAACTACGACATTAACTTCCCTCCGAAAAGCGAGCTGAGAAATAGAAAGGTGAAGGAACTTAAAATCCCAGTTCAATTCAAAAATACTTTATTTACCCCAAAGGGAAATTAATAATAATAATGGTAATAATAAATATTAAAGAATACTCAATATTTTTATACATTTTTATAGATTTCATGACCTGCTCGTCCGATCCTCATGTGTGTCACGCCCCCTCATTACCTACGCGTCCTACCCCGATTGTGATCACCTGTTTCCTGTTATTTCGGCTGGTCTCGTGTATTTAGTCCGCATCTGAGGCCGTTTTCCCCAGATCCGTCATTGATGTTTGTCGCCGTCTGCCCTGTCTTTCCCTAATAAAACGCCGGTTCCTGCATCCTCGCCTACCTGCCTCGTCCTTCCCCGCTTCCTGCCTGTTCGCCAACCAGCGATCATAACAGTAGATCATTCTGACTTGGACGTGGACTTAAATACACAGAACTAGACGAAACAATAAGAAACAGCTGGGAACAATCGGGATTGCACACGAAGTTAATGAGGGGCGTAGCACAGGAGAGGGTCATACGAGCAGGTCATGACAGTTATGGACATAGGCCTACTTTTTTGTTACACTTTTGTATTTGTCTGGAGAAGACTTGATTCAAAATAAAAATTATTCACCATGTTAATCTACATCCATCCAAAGTTTTTATTTTTACNTTTTTATTTTTACCTTATTGCACTTTATTTTTTATTTTGCTTGATTTATGAGACATACTTGACTACACTAGATTTTGTTTACAGTTCCCAATAAAATATGATAAAATGCTAATTATATTTGCCTTTTTTAATTCATTGAAATGTAAAGGATTGTGTGAAATTTCATCATTTCGACTACTTTCCCCAGTATCGAACTGAATCAAATCGTATTGCATCGTATCGTGGGAATTTCTGAGATATCAAAAAAAATCGAACCGTTAGCTTAAGGAATCGATACTGTATCGTATCGCGAAGAAAGCTGTGATTTACACCCCTATTTACTACAGCATGGAAAACTATTTGTTCTGAAATTTTAATTTTTTAAGTTTTGAGTGGGCAAAAAGACTCCAGTCTTGTGGAAAGTCTGCTATAGCAGCAAAGGGGGACCATCTGCACCTGAAAAGGAAAATGTTCCCCAAACCACCAATATGAATGACTAAGCAATTCACAGGTACAGATAGCATGTTTTCCACATTGAATATCTACTTGTGAATTTAGGTTCCCTCCGTATCAAATGAACCAAACTCTTCATGGCGAATTTGTGTACTGCCGCCGGAGCCCTAGCATTGAAGTCGTCCGTGTGTGTCTGATTTCTCTTTTTGCAGGAGAGGGCATTCCAAGAGAAGAACAATCTCTCCGACAGACTCCTGTCAGGTTGCAAGGTGGTGCTGAAGGAGCGATGGGTGGTGCTGGAGCTGATGAAGAAGTGTGAGGCCATAGCTGGCAAGATGATGAAGGACTTGGCTTCGCTCATCCAGGGAGGTTCGGCCTCCTACAGCCAGCCTACCATTCTCAATAGCAAGTATGTCCCCTTTCAGCAGTGCTTCTCAAACTGGACTCTGGGGACTGTCTGGGGACTGTCTGGGCTTCTCCAAGGACCAGACTGAGGAACATTGCCTTAAGGCCAATTCATACTTTTCCACGTGCGCTTTCAGTTGTGGACGAGGGGACATGACGTAAACTTCATTGTCAGGGGTTGGCTCTGGACGACTATGGTCGGTGCACGTGTAGTCCAGATTTTTAACAGAAAACTTGCGCATCCGTGCGCATCAATTGTGCATGTGCAAGATAATTGATACACTGGTCTGGCCAAAAAAAAAATCATTTGAATTTTTCGTTGGACCACCTTTAGCTTTCGTTATGGCGCACATTTGTCATGGCATTGTTTCCACAAGCCTTATGCAACATCTCACCCTTTATTTTTATCCAGATTTGCATTTATTTCTCACCAAGATCCTGTATTGACAAGTGAGTTGAACCTCCATAAAGCCTCCTTCAGCACATCCCAAAGACCTTCAATGAGGTTAAGGTCACAACTCTGTGGTGACCAAGTCATGCATGAAAATGATTCCTCATGCTCCCTGAACTACTCTCTGACAATTCGAACCCAATGAATCTTGGCATTCTTGGCCTGGAATATGCCCATGCCTACAGGGAAGAAAAAAATCCACTGATGATGGATGAAGGTGTAACCTGGCCATTCAGTAGATTCAGGTACTCAGCTGACTTTACTTTATTGCTGCATAATGTTGCTGAGCTGTAATAATGATCCAGTCTTTGGCTCTTAAGTTTTTGCTGATAAAAATTCAAATGACTTTTTTTGACCAGGCAGTGTATCAATTAGTGGTCTACGAAAAAAGAATACAGTAAGGATAGTTGTAGACATTATGGTGAGCAGTTGTATGAGGAGGGTGAAAGATTTACCCATTTCACTACACTCCTTGTATTTGTGTTTGTTGCAAATACATCTGCCCTGTCCTGGGCTGGTGGAACATGCTTGCTGTATGCATGCCCCGACCGCAAACACCCGCATCCGCAGCCAAATGTAGTATGAACACAAGTTACCATGCGGACCACCCTCCACAGCCGGAATGCGCGCGCGGAAACGTAAAGTGGCAGTTCTGCCTTAGATGAAGCCCATTTTCCCAGCATGCACTGGGACACTCTGGCTCAGTGATGGGGTTGACATGCACGGTTCGGGCGCCGTAAATGAGACGCGTTTTTCCTCTCCTTGCTACAATGTCAGGATGCAGCTGAAGCCTTTCCAGCTGGTTGGCCTGCACTGGCTAAACCTGCTTCACCAGAACAAGCTGAGCGGGATCCTCGCCGACGAGATGGTGAGAGACGCCCCAGCCATCTGGCGTATCGCGGGAGACCCCCGTGTTACATGCATACTGCTTGTTGTTTATTTTATCTCTGTTGTTTATTTTGTATCTTGTAATTATTCACTGTCTAATTATTAAGCGATTTTTTTTTTTCCCAGAAATCACGTTTTCCAGACCTGGCAATTTTATGGGTGATACAAAATATCAGAAAGTTTTGGGAAAGTCATGGGATTTTTGAGAACCGTGTTTTTTCCAGTCAACATTCGCACTACAACCCTGTCTCATTCAAGCAGTTTCTAGGTTATACTTTGCGTGTCAGTGCTACTTGTGGGCATGGAAGGCCGTTGGGGTAGAAGTCGAGAGAAAATACGTCTCCACATGGCATTTCTTCCCCTCCAGCCACATGGCATTTCTTCCCCTCCAGCCACATGGCATTTCTTCCCCTCCAGCCACATGGCATTTCTTCCCCTCCAGCCACATGGCATTTCTTCCCATCCAGCCACATGGCATTTCTTCCCATCCAGACAGGGTATTTTTCCCCTTCTATACGTTGCTTTCCTATGGAGCATTGGCATTAGAATACGTATTTAAAAACGGTGGTAACATGCATTTTTATACCGCATCAACACGGTACAAATGTACGTGTTAAGAAAGGCCTTTCAGTACTAAGATACACCTAGAACAATACTTTTCTATTCAAGGGCAAAGAGTTCAGTCTGTAGTGCAGTATTTGTTACTGTATCATGCCTCTTGTGTTCTTACTACCATATGATATTTTAGCGCTTAATCATAACCAGGATAACCACTCACACAAAATCTGCAAAAATTTCAACAGGGGTTTGTTGTTTTGTCTGATATGCTGAGTAACCTGCCTAAATTGGAACAAGTGAAGTTAACAGTAACAATCTATGTAAATTTATCAAGTTATAAAAGTTTGTGCTGAAAGAAATCATTTTTGCGTGCCATTATAATTGCCCATAATAAGCACGATATATGCATTATAAATGTGTCACAAAAGAATGAAATTAAATTTTGAGGTGTACCCAACCTGTTGTAGAATGTGTAAAGTTGAGATATTAGATGCTATAAACAAAAAGATGTGTGTTTCATACATTTAGTGTGGTCTTGTGGACAATGCTAAAAGAAATTTATGTTTAATATTGTTGACTTCAAGAGTTGAATGTGGGAAGACCATATGAAGTCCAAATATCAGACTCGACCAGAGACGTGAGCGTGCATGTGTGCGATTGTGGTGTTTTTTTAAATGCCACAGTACATTTTGCATAAACACTTAATGTGCTAAATGTGGATAAAGGTCGCTGTGCTGTGAGTACAAGCTAGCAGAGAAATTTAGATACAGAATGTGTACGATTCACATTAGAGTATCAGACAGTGTGAAAATAAAGACGTACGTGTGTGTGTGAGAGAGAGTCGGTGTCATTCACGTGGTTACTGGAAGGAACACATTCAATATATAAAATAAACACAAAAGGTATAAAGTCATTTTTAGCTTATAATTCCATGCAGATGCTAACAGTTGCAACCCCCCCCCATGGACCTTCCTACATGTTTACATGCAAAGTAAACTGTGGCATTATTTGTTTATGGCATTGTTATTATTGTTATTTTAACTTTACACATTCTATAACACGTTGGGTACACTTCAGGTTAACATTACCTCGTTCTTACATTTGTGATACGTATATCGTGCTTATGTCACATTAGGGTAATTATTACACTGCGCATAATTTGTCATTTAGCACTAACTTTTGCGACTCTGTAATTATTGTTTCCTGTATGGAAATGTAAGGAATAAATTAATGACTGTCCATCTGGTAATAGCTAGAAAAGAGTCTAGTGTGGTTAATAATTATTCAGCTTGCCATTCATTTCCCAGATGGAAATTAAACTGCAATTTTTTTGATAGCTTTTGTCCGAACAGAGAAAAGCAACATGCATATCTATATAATATATGCAATGGAAGGTACATCCAGGATGAATGCAAGGTCATAATACCTTGTTCCTCTATACAAAGTACATGTTTGTAATGTAATGATGACATTACTCTGCCTGAGTGGGTTGAACAAAATATCTTTCTTTGAATCGATTCTTGGAAATTTAGCTTGGAGTCCTGGATAAGTCATGAAAAAGTCATGGAAATTTGTTGTTTGAAAAGTATACGAACCCTGCTAAAAGTCGGAACCTGTGCCAACAAACATTTCCCCTAGACTCGGCCGTGTGGCAGTAAAGGTTCTCAGTCTGAAGCTTGGCAAACTTGCAAAACTTATTGTAGGGCAGATTTGTATTTGTTCGCAAATTCAAGTCCCGGCCTGATTTGGGATGTTCAGTCATTGTAGGGAGAAAGTCTTGGGCCCGTTTGTGATCCAACAGATATCAGTACGTGTGTGCACAATAGACACAGTTCCGTGTGTTGAAGGATTGTCAGGACGCACATGGTCGACTGCAATGTGGACGTGTCAGACATCGCTGTTGTGGCACCCTTACGATAGCTACCTGTGATGCGACTCGCCTTTCCGTGAAAAGTCGCGCAGCTGTGACTCTCAAAAGATGTGGGTGTGGTCCATGTGGATGGGGTGTGGTCCATGTGGATGGGGTGCTATGCGTGCCCCAGGGACAAAGGGTAAGATATTAATCCAACCATCCATGCTACAGATTCTTGAGAACAAATGTCGTTTATATTCAAAATTCACCTTTTTTTTCTCTCTGTTTACTTAAAAGATAATTCCACCAGTAACCGAGAGCAAGCCTTTCAGAAGGCAGTTCTGTTAAATGCTCTCTGCTCTGTTTCCTGGAGATTATTCCAGTTGTTTCTGGAAGTCTCTGGTGTCTAATTTATGTGGTCTGTTTAGTCACTGTTTTTTCCACCCTGTAACCCTTGCTGCATGTGCTTTTGGGGTATCTTTCTTTGACACCTTCTACGGTGACATTACTATTTTGTGCGTTTGCCAAGAATCGTTGTGGCTCTGAGAAGTTTAGTTAGGAATTATGTGGGAAAAAAACAGCCTGACTTGTGCATTTCACACTCCTTGAGCTGTGCAAATCCTGCAGACTGCAGCTTACTCCTGTGTCTGGTTGAAATTAAATGATCCTTTAATTGTCATTGTACAGGTGCATAGGAATTCTTTTCTCTTTCTGTACCAATTTGCACAATATCCACGTCCAGTCTGGTGGCTTAATGTTTCTGTCTGTCTTAATGTCCTGTCTTAAAAAATTATTTCTATATTACGTTTCTTGCTTTTCTACTTTTCATTTGCTCTGTGACCAACAAGAATGCTTTTAGCTCAGTATCTGACTGTACACGTCATACTTCTGAAGCTGACAATAACAGGTACTTTGACTTTAGTTTACACACACATCCCAATTCGCTTTCCTTTGAAGCAGAAACGTGCAGATATACACGTGAGCGTGAAGCTTGGGACCAGAGTGCATGGTCAGCTGTTTATCTGGCAGATGTACAGCGTTTTTCAGGGTTAAGGACCTTGTTCAAGGGCCCACCAGCGATATGACAACTGCCAACCAGGGCACTGCAGAGAATTAAATAGCTCCAGGCAAAATGAGCAGGTGCTCGTGCCCAACCCGCGTTGAGATCACAGGCACTGAGGGCTAACTGGTCCTTTATAAAACTAGCCATTTTTTTCCCAGATGAGATCTGCCATGACCCGGGTTCAAACCGGGGTTGTTGCGGCCACAACCTAAAGTACTGACCACAATACGATCATAGTGTGGCCCCCATCACAATGCGTTAGTGATACCGCGGGCTGCTCTGGAGGACGCAAGAGACACCGGCTCTGTCATTTTCTGCTTTAACAGGGTTTGGGGAAGACCATCCAGGCCATCTCCTTCCTTGCCAGCCTGTACCAGACGGGCAACAAGGGACCCCACCTCATCGCCGCGCCAGCCTCCACCATAGGTAGGCTGCTGTGCCCACCGGCTCTCTGGGGATATCAAGTGCCGAAACGCCAGCGACGCCATGTCCTCTCTCGCCGCAGATAACTGGGTGCGTGAGCTGAACCTGTGGTGCCCCAAGCTGAAGGTGCTGCCTTACCGAGGTGAGTGGCTGACTGTTGCTGCACGGCCCATGCTCTCGGAGTGGCTGTGCACGGGAGGAGGCTTTATAGCGGTCATGGTGACCTTCAACACTGTGGATATAAAGGGTTTGCTGTTGCCATTGTGGGACCTTAACTGCAGTTTGTCATGCTAAACTTCAGATACTGGGTTATAAATCATAAACACATAAGTTATTAGGCACCAGAACAAGATGTAGTGTTGATCTGCTTTATGATGATGACTGATATGTCTTCAGGTAATTTCGAGGAGCGTACATGCCTACGACATGACATCCTCCGCCGGCTGGTGGACTTCAACGTTATTATTTGCACGTGAGTCCATTATTCACCTTCTGCAGCCTTTCATGGTGTTTGCCTTTTGTTCAGCAGTCCATTTTGACTCATTCCAGAAGTCCTTTGTTTTGGATCCACCATCATGTTGATGCGCAACATTTTTTTTCTGTGTCGTCACATCATTGCCCTGGCAGGTACAACATGACCGTCGGAACCTCGAGCGACCGCGGTTTCTTCCACAAACTGAAGTTGCAGTATGCTGTGTTCGATGAGGGCCACATGCTGAAGAATATGAACACGATGCGCTACTTGCATCTCATGGAAATCAATGTCAGTGCATTTCAGTCATGCTTGGGTGAAGCGTGTCGGATGGAGCAGTGTCTCTCGACCTGGACCTCAGTGGACTGTTGGGGCTGCCCGAGGACTGGTTTGAGAGACACTGGGATAGTGTATGGCTGGATTTGTCCAGATGTAGATCTTAATATCCCCTCCACACACCCCACATTGCAGGCAAAGTACCGGCTGCTCCTAACCGGAACCCCCCTGCAGAACAACCTCCTGGAGCTGATGTCACTACTGAACTTCATCATGCCCTCCCTGTTCTCCAGCAGTACTTCTCAGACCGCCAAGTTATTCTCAGCGGTATGGAGGCACTACGGTAGACTTTTTTACGGCAGAACCAGTCATTGTTCGGAGTTGACGCATCGTCATAGTGAACTTGTTGTCCTGGTTCTGCTAAAGTTTCAGTAGAGCCACGATGTTATTCAGTAAATGAACTAATAAAAATATAAATTCTTAGGTTACCTGTTTACTTCTACCAGCCCATGTTTGGCAGTATGTTGCTAGCGTTCAGCGTTCAGTGCTCAGTAGTCAAGTTTAGTTGTTGGCTTGATCTTTGCCAGCATTAAGATACCACTTCATTCTCTCTGTCCATGAGCTACAAAGCAGGGCCCAGACATCCAGGTCAGGACACTGACTCATGTTGTTTGTTAGAAATCTTCAGAGCAGAGCAGCTTTGAGAAGGACAGGATTGCTCATGCCAAACTCATCTTGAAGCCCTTCATCCTGAGAAGACTCAAGAGCGAGGTTTGGTGCATGCTGTCTGCCGTGATGCTTCTCGTAGACAACTGTCTGCCCTTATGGGGAATCCTGCTCGATCGCTGGGTCTTCTGTTCAGGTGTAACATGTCTGTCTGGCGTGATGCTATCTTCATCTCTGTAAAAGCTGAGTACCTATGAAGCACTGACTGTGTCACTTTCAAGGCACTAATGTCTTCTGATACCGCAGGTCCTGAAACAGCTGCCCGCGAAGGTGAAAAAGGTGGAGTTCTGTCCCATGAGTGAGAAGCAGCAGAAGCTCTATAGCACCTTCCTGGAGACGCTCAAGTCTTCTGCCGTCGGCAAGCGTAGGTGTTGGCGTCCCGTTTCAAGTTTGAGTGGTGCTTGAATGGGTGGGCGTCAATGAAGGAATGACACTCATACCCATGGTCGCTCCACGGGACTTTTCTGCTCTGGTCCACCAGCAAAGTCGCTGAACTTCATGATGATGCAGCTGAGGAAGATGGCGAACCACCCCCTGCTCCACCGACAGTACTATACTAGTGAGAAGCTTGCAGCTATGAGTCATCTTATGCTCAAGGTGGGTGGGGGGGGGGGTCTGTCTACTGGGTCACATCCACCATCATAATCAATTGTGATCTTAAATTCCTTGGATTTGTTTTCCATGAGCCAGATGAATTCTTTTTTTTTTTTGTAAAAGTTGGTCAATGAGTTGGTCCTCAGTGGACTGTTGGGGGTAGGCAGCCCTGATCCTGGACTGCTGGTATCCAACAGGTTTTTCATCCTATCTGCTCTCTGATGAGCTTCACCTGATATCAGGCAGATAGTAACTCATAGGATAGAAAACCTGCAGGATACCGGCACTCTAGGATCATTGTTGCCTCCCCGTACTCTAGACAATGAGAATATGAACAGTCTGAGAGAGGAGTTTCCCCAACACCCTCTACAGGAGCCCACGCACCATGACGCTGACCCCGCCCTCATCCTGGAGGACATGGAGGTGATGTCTGACTTTGAGCTGCACTGCCTGTGCCAGCGGTACCCCGGCCTAGAGAGTTACCAGCTGCAGTCGGACCTGCTGTGCGACTCGGGCAAGTTTGCCCTGCTCACAGAACTGCTGGCTTCCCTGAAACAGAAGGTGAGAGGGAGAGTCCAGCCCCATCACAGGATCAATGAGCCATCTGGCCCCAAGTACCAGAGGGAAAGCTAAGAGCGCCGACATTGTAAATGCTGGGTAGAACCCACCTGAGATACTAAACATCCAACGTTCTATCTCCCCTGAAGCTCCATCCTCTCCGCCACATATGCACTTGCCTCGCCTAACATTTACTGAAGTAGTTCAGCCTAAATGCCCATCTTCAGAGTCTCTGTGGGATGTGGGCGCTCCTTATCGGCCAGGCTGCCCACTGGCAGATGGGGCAGTGTCGGGTGAACGAGGCTGTAGCCTGGTCAGAGGGACTCCATTAGGACCTGCTGGTGTTGCCTCCAGTGCTTTACTGATAACATGAGTGCCTGTGCAGAAAGCAGAGACCATAAATCGTAGTTAAGTGAAGCAGGTGCTTATTTCTGCCACTAATTCTGTTTACGGTCAGTAAATGAATTTTTGTCTTGCACGTTTTATTGTCTTTTTTTTTTTTTTTTTTTTTTTTAAGATAAACAGGGAAACAACTGGCACACAAGCAATTCCGCAGCAATTTGTTGTAACTGTGCATATGCATTTATTTTATGAGCATTTCCTTTGCAATAACAAGATATTAGCATGCATTTTAACATTTATACCACAAATGAAGTGGGAATTAGCCGTATAAAGGTGAAAGTGCACACTAATTTCTTGTCATAGCAGTACAACTTTGTGTTGTCGCAACAATAAATTGCTGTCTGTGTTGCTTTATGTAGCGAATGTGTACTTACGCACCAGTTATGCTGCATCCCTAATGATGAAATTCTTGTCTGTTAATATGATGAAAGACCCATCTGATTGACGATGCTAACGGACATTTGCATGTCTGGCCCTTTGGCCTTTTGGTTTTACTGGGGCTGTACAGTGTCTGCATTTGGCATGATAGCCAAAGAACAGTGACTGTGAAGAACAGGGCTTCTCAGACTCTGACTGAAGGTCTGCATCAGATTTTGGTGGTCTGGAACGATTTTCAATAACAAAGCAGCATTACATAAATTTTAACGCATTAACAATAATCTTCAATACAGACATCAATATATGACAATATTGGGATTTTTTTACCGCTCACTGATCGTTTTGACTCCGTCATGAGGAGGGGATTATGACGAGTTATGTGTGTGTGTGTGAAATTTGGTGTTCTACATTGTATTTTTTACTTCAAACCTCTTTAACCCTTTTAACATTAACCATATTGATGCATTAGGTGTATGATCGGACGGGTCCCGATTAACTTGTGGTTCGGTCCACATCTGGACCACGGTCCACACTTTGAGAACCCCTAGTGCAGAAACTGGTACCACAGACTAGCAGCTGGATGACATGCCGTAACTCATTGTTGGTCTCACTCTTCCAGTGACCTCGGTAAATGTAGCAGGTGCCAAATGCCCAGGCACGTTCTTCAAAACATTCACCTAGAGGCAGCTAACATTTGGGTATTTCAGGCAGCTTGTTTGTGGTCAGATGAGGAGGGACCCTTGATGACCTCTTCCTCCCTCCCCTCTCTCCTTCTCCTCCTTCAGGGGGACCGCGTGGTGCTCTTTAGCCAGTTCAGGACAATGCTGGACATCATGGAGGCCTTCCTTCAGCAGCTGGGACACAGTTACATCCGCATGGATGGCTGCACTCCCATAGCAGACAGGTGAGTCATCCATCCATCCATGCATCCATCCATCCATGTGTCGTATAATACTCATCTTGGTTTATCGCAAGCAGCACAAGGCTGAGGTAGACCCTGGATGGGATGCCAGTTCAAAGGGATCATGTTCAGCTAAAATACAACTTGTCAGGGTTGTCTGGTGTAGAATTGTCTTCTAGCTTTAGACTAGACCCTAAAGTCCAAGGTTTGTAAAGGACAGTTTCAAATGTTCCACTACTATAAGGTTTCTTCCAACTCTGTTAAAAGGTTGCTGGCTTTTTTCTCTACAGCATCGATCAGCTGCAGTGCAGATGCTTATTTCCCTACAGAATTTCTCATAAACAAATATTTCCATCTCCTTCTGTCACACCCGGTTTCCCATCATCAGTGGGATGCTCCATCTTACCCAAAGCCTTGGTGTGTACAGCAGATCTCCCTATGCTGCCTCTTCACTGTATGCCTGCCTGTTTTTCTGCTTCCTGTTGAAGGATCGTCCTGATCGACAAGTATAACAACACCTCGGAGATCTTTGTGTTCCTGCTGTCTACTCGGGCCGGCGGGCAGGGCATCAACCTGACCTCAGCCAACGTAGTCATCCTCCACGATATCGACTGGAACCCTTACAACGACAGGCAGGCTGAGGACCGCTGCCATCGCGTGGGCCAGACCAAGTAGGGCCAGCCTGGGAGGGGCTTTAAGGAGGGAGAGGGGGCTGCATTTGGGTGAGCATGGAGTGATTCTGATGCCTTTGCTTTTCTTCCCATTAAAGGACGGTGCAGGTGTTCAGACTGGTGAGCCAGGACACCATTGAGGTCAACCTTCTGCAGATCAGCCAGAAGAAGCTGAGGCTGGAACAGGACATATCTGCTGCTGAGGAAGGTGAGGTTTTGGGGTGTATTCTGGGGATAGCAACCTGACGTAGGCCTGGCAGATAAGCTCTCCCCTCTATTTACGCCAGTCTGATTATCTGTGGGGCTTCTGTCCAGATGATGTTCTACTAGCAGTGCTGATTCTCTCCATCCCCAGGTAAAGAGGGGGACTCGTGTGAGGACATCGCCTCTTTGCTGAAGACCGTTCTGGGCCTGTGAGCACCTCACCTGCTGCCTGTCTTAAAGCTGCTTAACACTGAGTGCCTCCTGTGGATATTCAGTACCTGAGCTGTGAAGAATCTCAGCTCATGTCGGAGTGCTGCTGCTTGGAATCTGTTCAGTAGTTGAAGATGCCCTGTAGAGGGCATTCTGACTGGAGACATTTTTATGTTTGTTGGGTGCTTGTTGTAATGTCAGATTATGTATGTGAAGGTTACAAATGTTTATTCTCTCAAAAGCTGCTGTTTATATCGCCACAGCATTTGCATGTCAAATAAAGATTTTACAATGTTAATGGTGAGTTATTACACATACATTACCAGCGGAGTTGAACTTTTAATGGTTTAACTTTAATGATGGCTACGCTCCAATGAGCTGACTTGTCTCTGGCCAGTGAGATGAGTTTGGTCTCCGCTGTAAATCTACCAGTAAGTGACTTTTGCTCTGAAAGCGGATGCTTCCCCTCTGCCTCCTCCACTGTTACTTGCTTAGGTGCTGTAGATCATTACTCCATTTGTCAAATGAAAATTAATTCAGTTCAATTTTCTCTGCTCTTCTCAAGCTGGCCACCGTGTGGCGCAGTGAGCAGAGGTCTCCCATTTACAGGTAGTCCCCAAGTTACGATGGGGATGCATTTCGATAACCCCATCGTAACTTGAAAATATCGTAAGTCGAGCGTATTGTATTGCGGTTTAAAATGTAAAGTTTAAAAAAAGACAAATTTGTAGCCTATATGCATTGTAAAGTGGAGTCATACATCTAGCTAATGCAGTTCAATAAAGTTTGCTCAGTAATAATCCTATCTGCTATAAAAACTTTAACAATGGTGGTAACCCTAAAATGAAATGGCTAAAGCTACGTGTATCATGCATACGCGTATCATATGGTACTGTTACCAAGATTCTGACTGACTTCGGCATACTTATACACTTAAATCACAGAAAAAGATACGCACTCTAACACCGATACAAATTAACTCCGTGAGCCGTTGGCGAGAGTGAGGTATCGCATAATGCGTACATCCTAGTGCTGTAGTTCTCGAGACCGGTCTTGAGACCAATTTTTGTGGTCTCGGTCTTGTCTTGGTCTCGACTCTATTTGGTCTTGGTCTCGGTCTTGTCTTGGTACCGGACATAGCGGTCTCGATGGGATGGGGAAAAAAAGAGAAAACAGCACATCCTCACAGAATAGTATCATTATTCATTACGTTCCTCAATTCAAATGCAACCAGTCAGATGCATCTACTTTACAAATGTTACATTGTATACATTTTCTCAATGGACACTGCTAGTGCTTCACAGTCCACACACTTCATACACATCGCATGATAGCGAAGTCGGCAAAGAAATCTTCCAAAACGTCACCACGCGTCACCATGTCACATGGTACAAAATCCTCGCGAGAGCAAGGCAACTTATGACCGACCGTGCAGCACAAACTGGAACCGCCTCCGTAACGACACAACTTTGCCCTTATTGGCTGAAGATTTTAGTCACACGCATGACGTTTGTATCCCAGGAAATTCCAATGCGTTATCTGCTATTTCTCCCGAAAAGCAGATAAAGCAGTGAGAACTGGTTTCAGTTCATTTACCTGGTAAAATAAAGTTTAAATAAATTACATAAATGCTCTAACAGTACACGTAAGTTAGTGATTTATTTATTGTTAGTTACTGTAATGTTGTGCTGCTTTATTTGTTTAATCGTCCAATCTGTGAAGAAGGCATGTACACCCTTCTGGCAGTGCTGCCATTGCAGTCAGGTCTCACAGACTACGAGGAGTAGAAGTTGTCCGACTTGGCTGCAGTGAGTTTATACTCCACCCCTGCAACCGCCGGCAGATCGCGCTCCACTTTGCGTCAGCTGCAGACAGACCTAAGCCCAAGTCGAACGCACCCACCATTGCTTCTTTAAGGGAGGATGGGCAAAATTACAACGTCGTCGGTGATTGGCTGTTGTGCTGGCGTTCAGTAAACCTCTGCTCGATAGGCCATCAAGTTCTCTGTCTCAGCGCATTCTCTAAAACGGAGCAAATTTGGTTGATTGAGTTTTATAGTCTGTGTGTATCATTGTGATCGTCCTTATTTTTTATCGATAAAAAATCGCGATCGTTTTATCGCCCAGCACTAATAGCATAGTTATAATTCAATTAAATTAGGTATTTTACATTCATTAGAAAGCACGGTCTTGGAGGTGCAAGTAAATCTGGAGGCTCATTCTCTTCAATTCAAAGCAGAGGATCATTACATAGCCGTATTCATAGCTTACCCGAGGCCTCTGTCCCTGGTATAAGAGACTTAATATGAACAACTTTCTGGTACATCCCATCTCTTTCTCTTGACGAGGTCTGATAAAATGGTTATAGGAGAGGATTGCTGAGAATATTATTTTCCATCAGGCCTCGTAACTATGACAAATCTGGGAGATTTTAAATGAGAGACATATGGACAAATGAATTGAAAAGATAACATGAATTTGATTTAACGAGTAATGACACTTTACAGCAATGCCTTTTTTCTCTACAGTTGATCTGAGTAATGTGATGTCGATTCTAGCCCTAGTCTGTTTTCGGTCCTGGTTTTGGTCTCGCCTTAGTGTGTCTTGGTCTTGGTCTTGGACTTGGTCTTGGTACCCTCAAGTCTTGGACTTGGTCTTAGTCTTGGTACCCTCAAGTCTCTGCAGTGTCTTGGTCTTGGTACCCTCAAGTCTCGGCAGTGTCTTGGTCTTGGTACCCTCAAGTCTCGGCAGTGTCTTGGTCTCGGTTTTGGCGGTCTTGGCTACAACACTAGTACATCCTGGCAGTGTCCCAACTTATCGTACGTCATACACTGCTACACTTGCCTGCCAGCTAATCTTAAAATACATACTGTATTTTCCAATTTTTAGCGTAAGGGAATCCTCATAAGATCAAAACATCGGAAGTTGGACCATCGTGACTGGGGGACCATCTGTATTACAGTTGCCTGATCTCTCACTAAAACCTCTTAGGCTTTTTCAACAAAATCTTCATGTCTGACACCTTGACCTTCAGTACATCTTGGTTATGTTTGCTGCCTTTTGACTCCCACCACAGCCACAGATTTAAACTGGTAGGACATTATTGATAACCTTCATACATCCAGTTTATGCCTAATTAACTGTCTATTTATTAAGCCAAAGCAATTTTTTTTTTGACTTGCACCGAAGTCATTCTATCGGCCTGTTTCTTAATTCGGGTCCCAGTATGTTTTTCTTAGCTCTGAATTTGGGATCGGAAGAGTAGCTCAATGCTTCATGCTAAGTTCTTGCAGCAATTAAGCACATTTTTCGTCCCAGTCACGTCAGTCCCCACTTCTGATTCTGCTAAAATCGAGCACAACCCACCCCCCTTTGGCCATAGTGTTACCTTTTTGCTGAGGGCAGGGTGGTTGAAGCCTTCATCTGCCTTCCTCTTCTCTTCTGTGGCCCTCTCTTGGCATCTCCTGGAAGTTATGTTGAACGCTAGATAAATGTGTCTGTGTCACGGCACTGCCATCTAGTGACTGGTGAGAATATTTAGTGCCACAACTCTAGTTCAGGGCTGCCCATCCCTGCTCCTGGAGATCCAGCACCCTGCAGAGCTTAGGTGCCGTCCAAATTTAACATGCCTGGTACTACCCAAGGCCTGATTCTGTGTATCAGGACAGCCCTTCACTAGTTCGAGTTCTGAATTCCCATGCCATTGTGAGCTATCTGTTCTAAGATTACACATGATTTAGCGTATACCCTGCCGATTAAGTTTGTATATACATTTGGAGTTTGTTTTTGTTTAAGATTATCAGTGCCACATAGAAAAGAGATTTGCAGAATTTCCAATTAATTTGGAAAACCCGCTGAACAAGCTATTTTTTTTTTAAAGCCTTAAGGTGTTTTCTGATTGGTCCCACCAGCTGTGGAGCAGTGCCCACGAATGACCTGCACTGATTGGCTGTGTAGCCACAGCCGGAGCTATGATTAAGAGAATTGGGGTGCAGATACCCTGGCAGAAAATAATTTTATTTTCTATATAGCGCCAGATGTATCGATTCTCTGAGAAGGTTCATACCTCGCCCTGCCGCTGTGTTTGTGCTCTACAGTCTCCTCACAACAGTCCTTATTGCCAGTAGTTGCTGATACTGATCAGTCTGAAGGTCAAGTTAATTTTATTTAATTTTATTTTCTATTTAGCGCCAGATCATAACAGAAGTCATTTAAGGTTACCTTTCCTATCGAACAGGTCTGTACATTGTCATTTTATTAAACAAACTAAATAGCCTTATGTTATTTACCTTATTTACACAACAGCTTGTCTTTTTTTTCTCCACACGGTCGCGCATTTACAATTCTCCTCTGCTCTCTTTATCGCGCATGGCGGAGTTTTCTAAATTCATACCCATCCATCCATTTTCTGTACTCTGTTGTCCTGATATTTATTTAATTTATATAACTGATGCAACACTGCATCCAAGGTGAACAAAGGGAATTCCTTATTTAACCGCTTAATGTTTATTCTGAAGAGTCTATTTAAAACTTAATTTTGGGAATTGATTCACTGATGATTGTAGTAAGAAATACAGCGGAATGGCAATTGACTATTCATTGAGTGGTAATGAATAGGACCATAAATGGAATTTCCAAATGATATTGTTGGGTCAGGACTGTTAAAGTACAAACTGGGGTTTAGCGCAGGCCTGGGGGGGTCCTTCCCCTATTCTATTGGTGCTTTTCTACTAACATACAGGAACCAACCCGCACCCGAGCCATACCGCGAAGAGTCTCTACTTAACAGCATGTTGCAGCTCACTTGGCTTTTCCACAACAGAAGGGTCTGCTCGGTAAAGGTGTTGCGGGTTTGGAGAGCGACAGTGACGTGAAAGCGAAGAGACGCTTATCTAGTGTTCTACTGCATGTGTGCAATTATTATTATTATTATTTTACTGTGTCCTAATTTCCGCTAGCAGATCTGTAAGAATCGCCACGTTATGCAGGTGTCAAACACTAACGGAATTAGCATTCGTTTAAATTTGCATTACAAGTTCAGGTGTTCATGCTTTTTTGTAAGTAGGAGATTGCAAATTTTAATATTCTGAATTACTGGGAATACATCACAATTTGCAATACTACTAATAATGCTTAATATATAGATCATGGCTATATATTAGGATCACCACAGCTGCTATAAACGCGGCTTCCAGACGTCTGGATGACCATCCAGTTAATTTCTCATTACACAAATCCCTAGGACAAAAACTCCATATGTCAACCCACCTAACTTTCTGCTGTTGTCCACAGCACAGAG